ACAAAACAAATAATCAAAACATTTTAGAGGTGGGGGCGCCAAAAGTGTCTTTGCCCCCGGGTGCTGAGAACCCATGTTACGCCACTGGCTCAGATAGGAAAACGTTCCTTTGGCATCCAAGAGATCCTGAATTGTTTGTTTGTTCATAAGAGGAAAGCTACGCAATGGTCTACCTGTGCACTACCCACCGCGAGTATCGAACCCGATTTATAGCGTAAAAAGCTTTCAGGCAGTTGAACCATTGGGGGAGGCAGGTCCTGGGATTAAATTCTGTTTGAGGGAGACAATAAACATTGGATTACTAACCATCCTCTGATAAACTAAATCAAAAGAGGAGTTCTGATAAGTATTCAAACTTTATAATTTCTTATAATTTAGTTCTGATTACTAAACTACACAAAATATACAAATTTCATACAGTTCGTCTAATAGTGCTACTTTTAACATTGAAGAACTGAAAAAAAAAAAACATCTAAAATTTATGACTTATTTGTATTTTTCTAAGGCTTTTCTTTTATATCAACCTCTACAGAATAAAAATGAACGTCTAATTAATACAACATGAAAGTAATAATTTATTTATAGTAGTTAGATGAAGCTTTTTTATGACAGGTCATGAGTGTACACGCATGTTTACTGGTTTTTAGCGACCTTCTTCTTCTTCTTCATCGGAATTATGTCCATGTTTTGACCAGAGAGGGTCAGGTTCAGCGTTGACCTCTTCCTCTCTCTCACGAATTATTATTTTGTTTGCACTGTCACTGAATCCTAGGTAATAACCCTTGTTACGTTGTTGCATTACTTACAGTATGTTAAATTTTGTACATTGTCTGCAGTTTTAATTAACATACCCTCATCGTGCCATGTCCACTATTAGTCCATGTTTACAACACAGTTCCGCTTAGCAGTCTTATACACATACACATAATCCTATTTTTATACACAAAACCCTGTTAAAATAGAGCTACGTTAGTGTCTAGGATTCAGTTAGCTTAGCACTGTTTGGCCTGTAAGTTTCTTATTTATGATGTTTAGGGGGAGATGTACTTAGGGCTTGGTTCATCATGTATTATGCAACTCTTTAGTTTGCTCATTAGTTCATTTTTATTAATATTTTTCTTATAATATTGAAACGAGTTATCCAGGAGTATGCCTGATATTCTTGGCATGTTTGAATGGCTGTGTAGAAATACTGAGTTTGTTGATCGTGGGACTCTTAAATACTTTCGTTAAAATGTAGATTTGTATTTGCTGTAGTTTGTTGATGTGTGATTTTGATATATTTATCCATGTTATACAGATATATTCTACGATTGGTCTTATGTATGTTTTTTAGCTAAAAATTTAACACTCTGAATTTTGAAACATATTTTTCCTGGAGTAACAGCAATTAGTGGTCTATAAAAGGATGTTTTTTTTTTTTTTTTGCTTCAGTAATCTATGGAGTATAAGTACTTGTGGCAGAATGAAGTTGCCATATATTTAATGTAATAAAGTATACATTTACATTACATATTAGAGGTTCGTTTGTTGTTTTCTTAGTTGGTCAGTGGTAAGGTTTTTTGTTTGTTTTTCATTAAGCACAAAGCTATAAAATGGGCTGTTTTCGCTCTGTACACAGCAGGGAATTGAACCCCGGGCTGTAAACTTACGGCTACTGCCATCCCGGTGGCTTAACGTGAAGGGATATAATAGAATAGATATGGTTGGAAAGACACATCCCTGACTATGTCTAGGAAATGTCAACCACTGATTGAAGGTAGTCAACTCTGACCTTTGTCTCCTACAAATGGATGTGCTGTGGAAATTATTGATTAGTTCTGCCTCTGCAAGAGCTGAATTATATTCCATGGGAAAGTAATCTGATTCCAGTTAGACCAGGCCCAGGAAGAGTGGACTGCATAAGTGTATGCTGTGGTGGAAGTCAAAGTACCTCTTCTGTGAAGAAGTCCTCTGTGTAAAGAAGTGGTGTTTTTTGGTTCACTACGCATGAGGTCTAGTGCATTAGTGCCATGCAACGTAGTAATAGAGCCACTGCAAGAAATGTACTGTTTGCTATCCGGAAAATGAACAGCATTAACCCAA